GGGCGGGGTGTAGGTGAAGGGCACAGGCTGGGGGTGTGGGTGAAGGGTACAGGCTGGGGGTGTAGGTGAAAGGCACAGCCTTGGGCCAGTCCTGGCGGCCCAGGAGTCTCAGAACACCAGGGGCTAGGATGTCCCTGAGTCCACTCTCCGGTTCCCCATGCAGATGGGGTTCAGAGGAGCTGGGTGTTTCTGGGGCCACCAGCCCTGGTTTTCCTGAACTGTCCCCTTTAGGGAGCCCCTCAGTCTTGGGTGGAAAGCAAGGGGAGGTGGCCTGCTAGCCCCTGCCTCTGACTGCTGTCTACCCTGCGGGTTCCTGGCCTGCACCATCGTCTGTTCCTGAGCAGGAAGCTGCGTCCGCCTGCTCCCGGAGCTGGCTCTCTCACCTGGCTCCCTCCGGGGTCCTCGTAGCTCAGAATCAGCCCTGCTCTGCAGGTGCCAGCAGTGTCCGCTGTGTCAGGGATGGCAGAGCCCCTCCTGCCCACTGAGGAGGGGGGCCAGGGGCAGCCCTGCAGGGCACACAGGTGAAGGGCCTGCTGCCTCCCTCTGGCTCTGGCCTGGAGGGGCCACCGGCTTATCCACAGGACCCAGTTGGTGCGAGCTGCGTCCCTGAGCCTGGCCCCTCTGCTCTGTTGTGGAGTCTGTCCAGCTCTCCAGGGCTGAGCTGCGGTCACCTCTCCCCTTTGGCAGGAATAGCAACAACCCGAGGATAGGCCTCTGGCCTCAGATTGGGTGGGAGGTGGCTGTTCCCCAGGCCCCTGGTGGACAGCAGGCCAGGCCTGCAGACAAGGCCAGGGGTCAGGGCCACTGTTCCCTCCCCCTTGGCCCAAATGTGTCCTCCCAGGCTAGCTCCAGAGCTGTGTAGCTTACAGAAAGCCCAGGGCTTGAATGAGTGGATCAGTGAGGGTCGTGTGGGCTGTAGGGAGCCCAGCCCTGACGAGGCCCTGCTGCAGGGCGGAGCCCTGGGCTCGGGAGGGGCCCCCTTGGGCCCATTTCCTCTGCCCCACATGGCCCCAAGCCCTGAGGTTTCAGGGGAAAAGGGCAAAGGACAAGTCCCAAGCTGAGGGTTTGGGGCATGCTGTCGGAGTCCCAGTAGTGCCTGGCAGGAGGAACAGCATCTGGGCCAGGGAGGCACAGTGGGAGTGAGGGGACCAGTGTCCAGGGTCTGCCCAGTGGGGCACACAGGGTTCTCCTTTATATCTGCTGCTTGCAGCTGCCCTGCTTGGCAGGTGTAATTGGCTCCTCATCTATATGAGGAAAGTGCAGCTCAGAGAGGCCAGGCAACCCACCTACTGTCACACAGCCAGGAGGAGGTGCTGGCTCAGGCTCAGTGGCTGCTGCTCAGTAGCCCCATCTGCAGGTGAGCATGGCATCCCCGGGGGAATTGGATCTGAGGGGGGCTTTGTGGGCTGCCACAGGCATGAGGTCGGCAAGTGGGCAGACCTCTGGGTGACTTATGGGGTTCAACTGTTTTGAGGGACAGTCGAAGGACAGTGGAGACACCTGTCTCATAATGTTCCCTGGAGGCATATCCTGCTTAGGTACAGCTATGGGATCCCTGAGCCTGGGTGTGCAGGATGGGAGGGGCAGGGTGAGGGGAGGGACGATGTCCAGGCCACCAGGGGCCACAATGGCCACAGACGCCTGGACGTACCACCCATGCCCATGCAGGGGTGCTGGGGGGCACTCCCTGGCTAACCCTGGGGCAGGTGCAACTTCCCCTGTAAGGGCAGGTGGTCAGTTCCTTGCTCCCTGGGCCACACTGAACTCTGCCCTCAGACATGGGGATCTGGCATGTCTGTGTCCCAATAAAGCTTTATTCACAAAGACCAGGTGTCCAGCTGGCCCAGGATGACTTACTGACCCTTGTTCCAGGGAGACCGCCTAGGAGCCTAGGAGGGTGGGGGCAGAGGGAGTCCTATGCAGCAGGGACATGTAGGAGGACCAAGGTCTTGACGCCAACAAAGCCCAGATCCCGGCTCAGCTCTGACCCACCAAAGCCGGAGCTGTTCCCACTGGGCACAGAGGGGGGAGCTCTGGGCAGCTCCTTCCTGTCCTGTCCTTTGACCAGAGAAGGAAGGGCTGGCCCAGGCCTTGGAAGCTGCCTACTGCCTGCTCTCTCTGGAAAGGGAATGCCACCACTGTCCCGTGGCCATTTGCTCCGGGTGATTTATTATGCCCACAAAGGCCCAGCAGCTCTTGATGCCCTTGAGCCCTCTGGTCCCCGCCAGCCGTATCCCCAGCCCCATCTGATAAGGCTTGCCCTGTGCCCTCCACTGATGCCTGCTCGATCAGGACACCACCGGGCCTCCTCAGGGTGGGTCTGAGCTTCAGGGTGCACACAGACACTCAGAGATGCCCCTGTTCTGTGCCAGGGATGGGTGAGGGGCCAGGCCCTGCCATCTCAGGCCTGCCCACGGCCAGAGAAGGGTTCCCATGCCTGGGCGGCCACACCATCAAGGATGAGGAGCCCCAGATTTGGTCCTGACTCTGCCACTGTCCAGCCAGGTGACCCAAGCTGTCCCCTGTGTGGGGGGAATGACTGGAGTCCCACGCCAGCCTGTACCCCTCAGTGGAGGGGTTTCCTGTTCAAGTCTCCTGGGGGGCAGCAAGCCAGCCCCAGGGACAGAGCACACAGAGGTCTCCAGAGGACATGGAGGTCTCTGCAGAGCAGTGGACCCTCTGGTGTGAGGACAGGGATGGAGCTGGGGCTGGTAGATGGGGTCCTAGGGCCCCTGGGGCTGGAAGAGAAGGGAGAGGACTCTCACTGCCAGTCACCAGGCCCAAAGGGACAAGGGGCCAAAAGTCACCACCGGCCATGGCCACCTGGTCACAAGTGGGCCCACCAGCATACCTTGGTGGGTGGGAGGAGTGTAGCCTGAGGGTTGGGGTCCAGGAGAGAAGGAGGAGGAGGAAGTGGGACAGCGTAGGCTTTGGGTTGGAAGGCAGAGGCACCGTCCCAGCAGGCGGTGGGCCTGGGTTGGGACCCATGGCTCCATAGCCCTCTGTAGGGCAGGGGTGGGGAGCATCCACCCCAGAACTGGCCAAGGGAAGGATCTCAGATAGTGGGCAGTGAGTCCTCTGCCACTGGGCAGGCAAAGGATAAGGCTGCCTTGAGGACTCTCGGGGACAGTGCACGGTATGGGAGGGCACGCAGGACGGGGAGCATGTGTCTGCTGCTCTCCCTGCTGCCCCGTGGCTTGCCTGGCACACGGCCAGAGCTGTGGCACTTTTCTGGCTTTCAACTTCAGCTAAGGGTCCTGCTTGATCACCACTGGCCATGGGGTCAACTCCCTCAACTGTGGAGCGGGCAGCTCGTCATTCTGACTGAAGCAGGGACCTTTGACAGTTAGGGCTGTGTCTGGCCACCCCTGCAGAGCCAGCCCTTAAGGAGGCCAGGATGCCAGCAGCGCCTGGCCAGAGCGGGAGGCCCGACGTCCCGCTCAGCCCGGGCTAGCAGGAAGCACTGGACCCCGTTGGCACTAACAAAAGGGCCCCTTTCTCTCCTGCTAAATTATTCATGACCTCCAAGAGGCCGTAAATGTCCTCGGCTCTCTACAGGGGCCATAATTACAATGATAAATTTTATTTGTGAAGTCAGTGCCTCCCTCGAGCTGGCTGCCTGGGGGGCTGTACATAAGCCATAACCGAGATGCCCCGAAACCTGCCGCGACAGCTGTTTCTCCGGCTGGGCCTTGGGGGCCGCAGGAGCAGGCAGGGAATGCCAGGGCAGGGGTCTCCGTCTGTCCCCTGACCTGCAGAGGGGGCGGTGTGGGGTCCTTTTGGCTATAGGGGCAATCACAGGGTGGGTTCTGGGTCCAGCCTGGGGGACAGTGGACCTGGGCCCCGTGGCAGGTGCCCTTGCCCCCTGCCCTTGGTCCCTGGGCCTGAGGACCCACTGAGGGGGCCTGGCTTTGGCTGCTCCCAGCTTGCACACAGCACACACCCTGAGTTCTCACAGCAGAGTTGTCCCCTGTGCAGGGCTCAGGTATAGGCAGGGCCCAGGCGCCTTGGTGGGCAGAGCAGGGCCTGTTTGCGGGTGCCCAGTGGGCACCCCTGCATGCTCCTCTCTGCCCCACCAAGCCTGCGTTTTGGCCTCGTGGGCTGCAGAGGACGAGGGCTCTTAGAGGCAGGACCCTGCCCCTGGCCAGAGGAGGCTCCTGCTGAGCCTGATGAGGACCAGGGCAGGGGGTGTGGCCTTGCCCCGCCCCTGTGCACACGGCTGCTGGGCGCAGGTCAGGAGACTCATTAGGAAGAGCTGAGAGCCTGGTAGGGCCCCCTGCTGGCCTCTGACCTGGGCTGTTGATTCCAGATGAGCATAGTGACCCCTCTCCATCCATGCAGGTTGTAGAGGGATGGGGGACTTCACGTTGAGATGGCAGGCGGGGCAGGCAGGGGGGACAAGTGAGACTGGTCCTCCTCATTGCTATCATGACAGCGACTGGACAGCCCAGCCTGGGTGCCCTGTGGCCTTGCAGCCCAGGTGGTATGGCCTTGCC